CATTAATATTATTTTACCCAAACATCTGTTCATTTTCAGCCGTATAGTGAATCTGGACGTCCTCCCGAAGCGTATCTGAATGTGTACAGTGATCAAGGATGGGAGTGTGATACCAACCCAGTTTTGGAGAAAGTTGCAGCTGCTTCATCAGACACGAATGTGCCTTATGTCCCTGGAGGCAGTACACCATCCTTGGATAATGCTGCACAGAACTGCAGAATGCTAGAGCTTGGATTTGTTCCATACCAATTGACTCATACAAAGCTGCCTATGAAAAATGAGGTAATTTATGTTTTCTAATTGATGTATGTATTTGCGGAGGATTGTTATGAGCAAATGTTCTGTACTTTGCGTCATGTTGTGGATTCTTTTAAAGTTCGAACGTACTGATTTTCTGAAAATATATCTTTTTAGACAGTGTGGATCTTAGGAGGCAGTGATTGTCAAGTACATGTTCTACAAGAAGACACATCACAAAACTGTTATGTAGAGGCTCAGGCCAAAGATACACTACCAGAATTTGCAGAAAAGCTGCCTAGTCCTCCACTGTGGACAAATATTACTTACACCAGTAAAGAAATGTAAGACAGTTATTCTATCTAGAAACCAATGACATCATTTACTTACTTCTTAAAAATAAAAAATGAACCTTGTATTTAATGTTTTTGCAGTAGAATGAGTGCCAGTGGTTGTGAATGTGGTTATTTGAGAGTAACTCAGTGCACATTTGATGGGACTCTGTCAAAAATTACTGCCAGCTGGGAATTGCAGTTGCAGGGTCCTATAAGTTGTGTGCGTTTCTTCTCTTTACCCACAGAAATGCATTGGCAGGCCACTGAAAACAATATAGGTAATTTCCTACCTTATGTTACTTGTATAGGGTAAAACAACTTTTTTTAATTGAAAGGAACTTTATTATTTTTTCTTCTTCTAGATCATCAGCAGTTGAACCTCTTGGTTGCTTGCGCAATACAGCCATCTCAAGTTTTTATGTTTGTGTCCAATCTCAACTTATTATTGTGTAGGATCTTTCACAGTGAACTATTTTTATTTGATTATTCTTTTCCATTCCCAGGAACATAAACAAGCAAGGGTTGTCATGTGGTATGGAACTTCCTACAAGTGCATCAGGAGATGCAGTGCTCTGTGGTATGACAGCAGATTTGGACTTAGATGGATCGGTAGAAGTTCTCTTGGGCACTTATGGCCGGCAGCTTCTTGTTTATAAATGGGATTCTAATAGTTGGGAACTAAGAGCAACTAGAACATTACCACATCCTGTCCACAGTTTACACTACTTAGATGTTACAGGTGATGGTGTTAGAGAATTGCTTATCCTCACTCCTAAGGGTCTTCATGTCTTCCAGGTAGGAGTTGTTTTCTTTATGTGAATTATTTGAAGTTGTGAATGTGTACTACTTAATCTTTATATTCTTTTAGCATCACTTGGAGCATGTTGAAGATAGAGTTGAATCCCTAGTAAAAATGATACTAAACATCCCAACAGAGGAAAATAATTCTGAGGAAGAGAAATGAAGTTGCCAACTGCGCTGATCTGAGAGAAAGAAAAAAAATAACTGTGATATTGGTTACCAAGGCCATAGTTAGAGCCATGAGTGTATGAAATTGTGAATAAATCAAATGTGGTTATTTTACAAGATACAATATTTTATTTACAATTGTCATAAAAAGACGTCATTACATTTATGATGTTAAAAGTATAAATACTGTACAACCTGGAAAATCACTCAACACACAAAAATCACTTAAAAGGGAAAATTTCATTCACTCAATAATTAAAACACTCAAGGATCAATTTTAATTTCAATATACGGTACATGTACAATTTCATAAAGTTCTAACAAAATTTTATGGCTACAAGAATGAGCTGCCTACTGGAAAGCAAGCCCACCTTTCGTTTAATAACATAGGGTCCAGTCATTTTTCTTTAAAAACCTTATTTGAAATTGTTATTTATTATTTGTTGCCTTGTCATTACAAATGAATTACAAACTGTATGTGAAGTCTGAAAATTAGACACCAGTGACAACAAAATCATCCTTCAACCTATTACCATTGTACAAAAATAATGACCTCCAGTTCAATCTTAAGAGTAAAAACCCACAACAGCAGACATTGTCCAATCTTAAAATGTAATACAGTATGTTGGAAGACTATATGCTGCTGCCTTCAATTTCTTAAGGATATTCATATCACAATCAACATGCAAAAGTAAAGAGATCATTTAGGACATTGTTCTACCATTCCTTTTTCAGAACCAAATTTCCCATGCAGTAATGACTACTGGCGTGTTATCAATGTTAGTACAAAAGTTTTCGATTTCAAAATACTGTAACAAGTCACAGAAGAATCATTTTAATATGCAATTGCAGTGGATTGTGGTATGAATTCAATACATCCACAATGTTTGATCACTAAACTGTAATCAATCATAAGTGCTGAAGATTTGCAAGACTACGGCAGAAGTAGAAAAGATAGTTAATGATCAGGGGGGAAACAGGCAAGGAGAGAAATCCATACAACATACTAATACAGAGCAGCACTAAATTTTAAATTCGAACAAAGATCATATTGATAGGCATTAGAGGACACTAGTACTTTTGTCTAGTGCTAAGTTTTTATCACATTAAGTCCCATGTGACCACCTCTATGATCACATTTTTCCATGAAAGTGACCTGCTCTGAGACTCATTGTTAAAATTGTAGATTGATATATTGGGTTCAGGTAGGCAAAGAGTGGAAACCAGTGCTGTAAAAACTACAAGTACGCATCTTTCCGCTAGAAATTTTGGATAAAAGGCAGTAGGGAAAAACAAGAGAATTGGTCATGCTTAAAGCTTCTAATGTGATGTCTCGAGGAATGAACACACAAAATCACAAAAAAGAAAAGTGAGGCCTAGATAAAATAATTTTACAAGAAAAATACTATAAAGGTGATGACTTTTACTGCAATCAATAGCACAAGACCAAGTTTAAAGGTATATTGCCCCTTGTAATGTGTGTACAGAAAATTTACAATAATAAATGTGCTGGATGCAGAACTAGTTACTTTCAAGACTTGCAGTTTTAAAGTACTCATGCCACTTCTGGTCATAACTAGACTGAGATTTCTTTAACAATGTTTTGCGCACTTAAAGGTACTGTACTAAGCAAAATCCTAAGACTTTTCCTAAATTAGAATGCAATACACGAAAAACAGATACACTTCTAATAATCAAATAAATAAGTCCTCATGGCAGTTCATCCTTGAACACTTGACAAGGCAACAAGTGATCTATTCCTGAGACACTCAGAATGCATCCATGAGCAAATTTGATAACTTTAAAGATGAATGAACACCAGCCTACCTGACTTTGGTGGGTTCCCTGATGAAAACACAATCAACAATTCTTTAACATCAATGAATATCAGCCTTACAGATAGAGGAGCTAATACCAGAGCCTCCCAAAATTTTAGAAGGAACATTCCTTCAGTATTTTTTCTACTACACAAATAGAGGCAGGTGGTTATTGATCCCATTCAGCTCTACACCAGTATTCTTCACATCATTCTGGCAGTTCTTGTTAACAGCAGAGAGAAGCTCAATCACTAGCCAATGCCACAAAATTTAAATAAATTTCAGGGTGTGGAAATTCCCCTACTGAGCTAACTAAAATCAGTATCATTGCAAAAAAAAACTCTACTTATAATACACTAGAAGTGTCACATATCAATCACATTAAATTTTCATCATTGGTGTAGTTCATCACACACAACACAGAATATCATTAGTAGAAAGTAGCCTTGCTGCAAATAGAGACATTCTTATTAAACAGTTCTGCAGCACACAGTATTTTACAATTATACACATTATTTACCCAAGCTAAGTCAAATTTATCATTCTTACCTCAAAAATACAGCCCTTACTATCAAATTGTTTAGTACAGATTGTGAACAATATTAATCAACAATTCTGACTGAAGTTCCTCCTTCTATCAAATTTCACCTTCCTTGATTAGAACAAGCTCATGTGATTAGATTTAGAATTTAGATGGCCAGTTGAGGTTTCAGCAATAACTCATCCCATTCCCATCATTCTATAAAACAATTATATAAGCATGATATGAGGGAACATGAAAACATGATATGTAAGGCTAATAAAGTAACAGAGTTTTAAGTTGAAGCTTTCAGGTTTGAATATTCAAGCCCATAAGCTCAAACAAAGTTTTCTTTACTAAATGCACTATTATTAGTCCTTTTTAAAATATAATGCTGTATTTAGCCAAAGTAATAAAAATGAAAAGTTATTTGATTTCCTTTATGGTATGTGTTGAGGCAATTTAGATTGTGTAGTACAATAGTATTTGTTTAAAGCCTATTACAGCAATTCCTTACAGCCTAGGGTAGAGGTACCCAAAAATTGTTGGTACCCCAAAATTATTATCACTTTCAGTACTCTTACCAGCACTTTCAATAACCATTGACAGTATTACATAATGCCATGAGTTCCATTGTCTTCCTTGACCGCAGTTGGTCCATTAGTCCCTCCCTTACTAAAACTTCAATTAGAACTTAAACTTTTAATAAA